AGGAGTTTTTGCAATGTTTTTTAGGTACTTTTATGACGTTTTTAAAATGTCTTATTCCAACGTGCCGATTACGTTATTTTAGCACCTGAATAAAACGTCTCCCAAAAGTTGCAGTTTGGCCTGGTTTTATTTCCGTAGTAGACAAACGTGATGATTAGGTTTTTTTGACTACTTAAAGAAAACCTACCAGGTTGGTATTTTTACAATGTTTCTAAAATATTTTATTTTGGTTACATTATTTTGTTTATTTAAAAAAATTTTTTTTAAAGCGTTGTACTACAACATTACCTAATTGCAACCAAAATACAACATTGAGAAAAGTTGTAAAAACGTTTTGTGTTTGCTGGGTAGATAGCTGCCTTATTAGGAAGACAAAGCCTCCCTAATTAATACATTATTATTAAACATTTGTTAAGCAATTGATTTCCACTTTTCCGACGTGATACTGTATGTGATGAGAAGAGGAAGAAAAGCGAGTTTGGCTAAAAATGTTTTCGAACCCTAGTTGATCGCATCACATGCTGTCTCTGCGCATTAGGCCTCGATCACACAGAACACAGTTTTTGCAGTGAGAGGCGCCTTTTTTGAATTGTTCGGTTGGCAGTGAGCGTTCTGCGAGCTGTTTATGCGCCCTGTGCACCTTGCGTTTTTGCCGCCTGCTGCAGTGTTGCCAACTTCTTTCAATAGAAAGTAGCTAAAGCCAGTTTGAAAAGTCGCTAAATGTCGCCAGATGACATCATACGCTAATTAGCATATTCATGACGTCATCGTGTCTGTTGCCTTTTACATTTGTTTGTCTCTCTGTGCTCACATACTGTATTTTAATGCAGCCAAATTCTCAATAAAACTGTTTTCATTTATATACTGTTTCTGTAAAAATATAAATATAAATATGAAATAGTGACTGAAATGCGGCCCTTTAAAGTCGGCATGAAATCAAAATTTACTTTATTTAATTTACTAGCGCACATTGCTAGTCTTGATGTGAACAATTAATCCGTGCAAGTTAATCCGCTGAAAAAAATTGTTTGTCTTGGTAATCTTTAATCAAAATCTGAACATTTACATCCGCTCTGGAATGGCATTCCTTTTCTGATGACGTCAGTTTGACGGCTTGGGCAGAATATCCTTAAACACACCCCTCCAACCGTTAGATTGCTATGAGTGAGAGACAGAGAGGAGGAGCGCAAAAATAAAACCATGCCCTCTATTCAATATTCCGTTTCAGCTGGAAATACGTCACTACACTGAAATAAAGTCGGCAGCAACTTCCGATTCACGCGGACTTTAAAGGGGTCATATGATGCGATTTCAAGTTTTCCTTTCTCTTTGGAGTGTTACAAGCTGATTGTGCATAGATAAGATCCCTGAAGTTTGCAAAGACTAAAGTCTCAAAACCAAAGAGATATTCTTTATCAAAGTTAAGACTCTGCCACGCCCCCCCAAAATGCTCGTTCTAACACGCCCCCACATATCTACCTCACTATGTGGAAATATTAGCATAATGCCACCCAAATGTTCACGCAAAGAAAGAAGGCGTGGTTTCAGTAACCGCAGTTAGTGTTGAAGCAGCCATGTCAGGGAGACGCTGTGTGTTTCTAGGCGAAAGCAAAAGCACTTTATTTGGCCTTCCGAAAGTAGATGCATTTAGGAATCTTTAAGATTACTTACAACAGAACAGCAATGCATTTTATGGACGACCGTTTCGTGAACCTAGGAGAGGAGGTAATTCTGACTTTGCTATGACAATCTGGTGCTTCAGAATCAGCTACTGTTTTGTTATTAGTTTAAGTATTTGCTATTGACTGTTCAAATGCGGAGTTTTGCGCATCATGTGTGTGTGTGTGCGAGAGAGAGCGCGAGAGCTCGCGTGCGCGAGAGAGAGAGAGCGCGAGAAAAAGAGAGAGAGAGAGAGAGAGAGACGGTCACATCACAAACACATACCAGCTTCATCACTGTGTCTGTCACGCGACTCTACATAACCAGCTCTCCCTTCCAAGACGTTAATCTGCACAAAAATCCTGCTTTATATTTGAGCCATCGTCTGATGAAATGAAACGCACATAAGAAAAGACAAGACACAGACAATTCCTGTGCTGTGATTTCGGCTATATTTGCATGTAAAATTAGAGAAGCAACATAATATCTATTTTAACTGAAGGCACTGCTCCTCTCAGCCGCTCGCTGAACAGAGCAGACGCAGAGAGAGAGGTGTGTGCGCGCTGACCTCGCGCCGTTGTGTCAGTACCAGCGATCACAGAGACTCGCTAAGGTTTGTCCAAGAAGTCGCTAGATTTGTCGCTAGCAGTGGCGGCTCGTGGGTTTTAAAATAGAGGAGGCACACTAATTGTATTGGTCTGGGATCCCTGCCGATTATTATTATTATTATTATTATTATTATTTGCTTAACCACTTTAAAATGGCTTTTTGGTTGCTTTTAGTCTGAAAACGTAAAGAAAACGACATACATACAGCAAGATGATATCATTTCACTTACCTGGCCTATCACTTGAAGCAAACATCCATCCCTTCTTAAAAGTCTGTGTTAAAAGAGAGCTGCTTGTTGCGCCATTTAATTAAGCCGACTGCTGTAACGTTAGCCTATATCCAGCTTAGGCTGTTTTTCCTAAATTTGTATATATACTGTTTGAATGACAGCTTGGTAACTCTGTTGGCGATCAAATATTCAATATCACGACTCGTCATAAGTACTTCGTACATTATCAGTGCAGAGGCAGACGTTCAAACTAATATCACGTAATTTACATCTCTATTGATTGGTTGATATCAGAAGGGAGGCTAGCCTCCCTTGCCAGGTTTCTTTTCTCAACACTGCTCAGCGCTGAGAGTGAACACTTGATGGTGATTGGCTAATTTTTTTTACCAACGGAGGCACGAGAGCTCCGCGCTCCCCTGGCCTCCCCCTCCCCTTCTCTATTACCTGCCAGTTGCAATTACATCAGCAGATTCGGCACATTCGCGATAGAAAAGCGGCGCTTTCACGTTATGGTATTAAAACTGTGAGACATGTTATATGACATGTCTCACATTCTGAGACATGAACTGAAATGAATTGTGAATTTTATTAAATCGTCGTCCTCCCATTTTCACCTTAAAATTATGGGGAGGCTGTGCCTCCCCTGCCTCCCCTGGCGAGCCGCCACTGGTCGCTAGTCGCTTTTTTGGAAAAAAAAGTCGCCAATGGGTCTGAAAAGTCGCTAAAGCTAGCGACAAAGTCGCTAAATTGGCAACACTGGCTGCACCTCGTGTTTTTGCAGGACTGCTCTGAGCGCCTGAAGTTGAAAAAAAAGCAACTCTGAGCAGAAAAGCACCCGATGCATTCACGTTTTTTCCCCATTGTCTTCCGTTGTGGTGACGAACGTTTACCGTTGCTTAGAAAGTCCGGAGACTGCTATGATGGAGGAGAAACTTTTGGTGTCTGTTTCGGATTACCCGGAGCTGTATTTTTTAAGATTTCTGTTAATATGATAGTTTACTTAACAGCAAAAACCAAAGATTTTAGAGCGCTACTCTCCAGCCTGCACCACTGCAGACGCTGTTTAACTTTGTCCAACGAGATGAAATGAATGACATGAGTGTGTTTATTCTTGAGGTTTTTTTTCTCGAAACACAACAACTTTTTTCTCGTAATTAAATTCGTTTATTCTCAACATTTTATTTTGACATTTTTCTCGAAATTTAACACGTTTTTCTCTCGCAATTTAATGACTTTATTCTCAACATTTTATCTAGACTTTTTTTCTCTCGAAATTTAACAAGTTTTATCTCGAAACATAACGACTGTATTCTCGAAATTTAATGAGTTTAATCAACATTTTATTTCGACATTTTTCTGGAAATTTAACGGATTTAATCTCATATTATAATGACTTTAATCTCAAGATGGTTTTATTTTTTTATTATTGCTTGGCCCTAATCCTCTTCCGTACAAAAGAGAATGAATGATGACAGATTTTTTTATTGAATTAAACTACTATTGAATTAATTATTAACGGTTAATCTTTCTTACTTTACACGAGTGTGTCAATGATGGTTTTGGTGTTCATGACATTGAAAAGCCATTTTTGCTTCATTAGGGCTGAAATAATGGTTTATTATCAGTTCCTGTTCCTCACAAAAAGTTATATAGTTTCAGAAGACTTAGAATAAAGATACACACGTGGTTTTATGAAATTTTTATGGTGCTTTTCTCTTTTTTTTTCTTATTTTTTTTGTTGTACTTCTGAAGCTTGACAGCTGTGGCCACTATGAACTGTCATTGTATGGCAAGAGTTGCGTGACATTTCTGCAAAAATTCAACTTTTGTGTTTCATCAAAATAATAACAGCATACTAGTTTGAAATGACGTGGTTGTGTAAAAGATAAATATCCCTTTGAAAGGAGATTGCTGAAAGATTCAGAGGCTGGTTTGGGTTTAGATGTTGATAAGACTGAAGTGGACAGAAAGCACACAGTGCCTGCAGATGCTGTCAAGAATTGTGCTTTCATGTAAAGCAACACAACAAACACTCGGCAGCTAACACTAAAGCCTAGGTTCCTTTATGGGAAACCAAAGAAAGAGTGATGACTAATGAGAGCAACAGAGAGCAAAAGGCATAAGGGAGGAAATAGTGCTGAAATCTAATTACATATTGTTATGCTTCAATGCTTTAAAAGTGAAAAGAGAGACAAACATAAGGAAGATGGGGAAGTAGGGGTGATAACTGTCAGATATTGCTACTCCAAATAATTGTTCATTCAGTTACAGAGTCAGATAAGTATCATTAACACACCATTTCCACTTCAGTTTCTATTCATTTCATTTTAAATTGAACTCTTCACCCAAGGAAATATTTTATTGTTGTGGAGTAATGTGGGTCAGATCGCTGCTGGCAAGGCTTTTGCTAATGAATGTATCTCTGCGTGCTGGTCATCCATAGCTAGTGGCTCATTGTTTCAGGGGTTCAAAGATCATGTTCTCTTTTCTCTCTCCCTTCCAGTCACCATCGACTCACTCTACAAGGTCACAGAAGGTCGTCAGTCTGACATTTTCCATCGCCATGCAGAAGGTACCTTTGATCCGAGTTGTTGTTTCACTATTTACCATGGCAATCAAATGGAATCCCTGGACTTGGTCACCTCTAATTCAGAGGAAGCAAGGACATGGGTGACTGGACTCCGATATCTGATGGCCGGTATCAGTGATGAAGATTCGCTAGCTAAGAGACAGCGCACACATGACCAATATCCTTTACTGCAAGATGGATGGATGGTTGGACAAATTTATTACAGTAATCATTTACTACTCTTCATGTTGTTTCTTCAGGGGAGCACAAAAAAAAGAGATGTTTTGAGAAATGTTCACACTGCTCTTTTCCATGCAATAAATGCATATTTGCAATTGTAGACACTACCGTTCAAAAGTTGCAGGCCAGTAACACTTTTTAATGCTTGTGCTCACCAATACTGCATTTATTTGATCATAAAATGCAGTAAAAACAGTAATATTGTGAAATATTATTAAAATTTAAAACATTTTTATATATATTTTAAAATGTAATTTATGCGTGTGATGGCTAGGGTTGGGTACCGAAACCCGGTACCAATATGGCACCGGTACCTATGTAACCGGTATGTACTAGAACCGTATCAGAACGCAGATTTTGGTGCCATGTCTGAGCGATCGATTGAAATATTTGTCCTCCGGTTCTCCAAAATGGACGTAAGAAGCATCATCACCGGCACCGCATGTGAAAAATTATTTCTCGACTGAGAAAATGCACATGAACTCAAATCGGAAAGCTCTAATAATACAAATCCAACAAATCTTTGTAGTAACGAGAGTGTCCATGTTGTTTTCACATTCCGACTTCAAAGCACAACTCGGGAAATGAGAGCATCCGAGGAGCGCGTGAATGTAGTAATTTCACTTGCTCTGATGGCAGCAGCTTCCGTTAACTAAGTTAAACATGCTTAAATTAAAATGCCTAAAGCTAAACTTCCCTTGTATTCACATTTCTAAACCTGTTGTCCAACAAAAGAGAACATTATAATCTTTTTACTCACACTCAACACCAGTCAAATGCTTCCTTTTGTGATCTGATGTGGCTTCTTGTCACAGAATGAGGCAGAAAATAGGTTCCATAGGCTACTATAAAAATAATACATCGATTAGCAATGGATTATAAATATACTTAATTATTATGAAAATACCAGAGATGGCTTGAATAACACAGATAAACTATATTGTCGCAGTCGAGTGTTTATTGTCTTTGTTTTATCATCCAAAACGTTTATATGTTCTGTTTACTGTAAGAGATCTAATTGTTACAGCTATAATAGCATGCCTTTGTCCATATAAGGGATTTCCTGGGTCATGAGTTGCTACTTTTGTGAATGGATGTGTGGATTTTCTGTGCGAGGGCGCCCTCTGACGGAGAGTGTCCATGTTGTTTTCACATTCCGACTTCAAAGCACAACTCGGGAAATGAGAGCATCCGAGGAGCGCGTGAATGTAGTAATTTCACTTGCTCTGATGGCAGCAGCTTCCGTTAACTAAGTTAAACATGCTTAAATTAAAATGCCTAAAGCTAAACTTCCCTTGTATTCACATTTCTAAACCTGTTGTCCAACAAAAGAGAACATTATAATCTTTTTACTCACACTCAACACCAGTCAAATGCTTCCTTTTGTGATCTGATGTGGCTTCTTGTCACAGAATGAGGCAGAAAATAGGTTCCATAGGCTACTATAAAAATAATACATCGATTAGCAATGGATTATAAATATACTTAATTATTATGAAAATACCAGAGATGGCTTGAATAACACAGATAAACTATATTGTCGCAGTCGAGTGTTTATTGTCTTTGTTTTATCATCCAAAACGTTTATATGTTCTGTTTACTGTAAGAGATCTAATTGTTACAGCTATAATAGCATGCCTTTGTCCATATAAGGGATTTCCTGGGTCATGAGTTGCTACTTTTGTGAATGGATGTGTGGATTTTCTGTGCGAGGGCGCCCTCTGACGTCCAGTATAAATGAAACAGACATCATGTGTTTATAGTGCTAATGCCCAATCCATCATTTTTGGGGAATTTTTATTTGTTTATTTTTTAACAAGTATCGGTTCAGGCATCGTTTAGGCACTGGGACCATTTTAAAAGTATCGATTTGGCACCGGTATCGGTAAAAAAACACAAAAAAAAACATACCCAACCCTAGTGATGGCAGTGAATTTTCAGCACATGATTCTTCAGAAATCATACAAACATGCTGATCACATATTGACGCTTGGTCAGGACCCCTTGGCGTGGCTTTTTGACAGTCAAGGCACCCCTTTAGCAATATTTTTCGATGCACAGCGGTATCCTTTTAGCATCACTTTTTAATGTGCAGGGTCCTCCACTGTTTCCAGTTGTTTGTCTTCATTTAATGGTTAGCATGAGGAGTTGCATACATTATTGGATAACTAGATGGAGGCAGAGAGGAAAAGAAGGATTTGTGATAGATTTTGACTGATTGATTTAGGCCGATTTACAAAAGAGGGAGATGTACAAAGAGGGAGATAGCATGAACTCTTTGAATCAGTCTGCCTGTGAACAGTTCACTGTTTCAGGGAGACTTCCTCTGCAGGTAGTTCTTACAGAAGCACAGACTCACATGAAAGGACCTGCCTTAGAGGAAGAGGAGATAAAAAGCCAGAGCTGCTCATCCTCTCCTTCCTTATGTTTATGTCTGCTATTCTCATTAAAGAGGCGTGAGTCATCAGGTGGCAGTCATTATAATCTGCCATAACAGTAGAAACACAGGTTACACTTTATTTCGATAGTCCACTTTAGACATTCTACTAACTATAAGTAACTTTGTAACTACATGTCAACTACATGTCAACTAATTCTCATTAATTTGCAACTACATGTCTACTAACTCTCAGAGTAGACTGTTAGGGTAGGTTTAGGGTTAGTAGAATAAGTTGACAAAGAAAGTGTTAGAAGATATTAAGCAGACAGTCTACTAATACTCTACTAACTGCTAGTTGACATGTAGCTGCAAAGCTACTTACTGTTAATAGAATGTCTAAAGTGGACTATCGAAATAAAGTGTTACCGAAACACAGCATATGGCCGTTGGTAATTTCACTTATGCTTTCAATCTAGACGCCAGTTCAACTGTGACCCGTTTTATTGTTGTGCATAAAGAGACAGTGATTCCAGTGCCCTTCGTTTTAAAAACATAATTATGGAGAACCAGACAAGCAGAAGAGAGCAGACTAAAGTCTTTTAAGACTTCAAAGTGTCTTCAGACTGCCAGTCAGAAATGTACCCACTCACACCCGCTGTACAAGACATTAAATGGCATGTAATATAAAATAGATATTCTGCTTCGTACAGCTCTGGCTAAATGTTAATGCCCTTCTGATTAGCCTCCTAATTGCGCCGATGTTACCTGAATCGACCGCTATATTTGGATGACTTTCAAAGTCTGTCCCTTGTCTGCAGACTCTTCCAAGAAGCCTCACTGTTTTCCTTTCAGTCACAGAAGCACTGCCTCTTTCCTGCCTGTAATTACATCCATCAAGGCTCTCTACCAACTGTCATACTTCATAAAAAAAGACATCTCTTCTTTCACAGTATAGATGATCTATTTCATGACAGCTTCTCACTACTGATCACGCATACAGAAAAATATTCCTCCGTCCACACACATTTGCAGATATCCTAGCAAATGTATCAAAATTACATACAGTATTACATAAAGAAACTTATTATGCACACAAAAATGTCTTGCATATCATGCATTTGCCCTCTAAGCGGATTGAGATCCAGCTCTTTGTTTTCAACATCTCATAACTCAAGATCTTTTCACTTTACGAGACAAATAAAGCAGCCCAATTGCACTCAACAGATAGGCTGATGCATTAAAACAGAGCTTTACTTATTTCAACTGTCAGTATGGCTGTTTTTTTCATGAAAATTCAATGAAAGTCCACACTTGCACAATTCAATTTGTGTGTCCGTACTGTGTGTTTGTCAGCTATGGGATTCTCTCAGTTGTGCATTGGAGCTAATTGTGTTACAGGTCTGAGAAGCGAGAAGGATGAGCTCATCCATTCCTGATGTTCACAGGCAGAAAAGTAATACAGATAATAATGTTCCCAATAAGGTTTCTTTTAGAGAGACAGACCAGAAATGAGAAGCATACACATTTTTCATTTTACGATGAACTCTTTCTGTTTAAACTTTGTTCAAGATAAATGTCAGTGTAACTTTATTCTGTGGCTTCATTGTCCAGCTTTTTCTCTGGTGGTATTTTCTCTTAACCTTGATGTAAGTGGATGAAGCAGACCTTCGAGGAGGCTGATAAGAATGGAGATGGTCTTCTGAACATTGAAGAGATCTACCAGCTTTTACACAAGTTGAACGTCAACTTGCCTCGCAGAAAAGTCAAACAGATGTTCCAGGTATGTGGGGAAGATTGGAACAGTGGAAAGTGAAAAGTTTTCATTTAGTCATCAAATGTGACTTTATTTCTTCAGAGGAATGCAAATGAAGATTTTTAGTAATATAATCAGTCTCTGTGAGTCCATATAAGCACAATCTGAAGCTCACATGAGAAGTGAACTTACATTTACGTCAAACGCACACTCGACTCTCTAGTAAATCCATGTACGTCAGTTGGCTGGTTTAAGTGATGGTTTACTGTTAAAAAAGTTCAAAATTTGTATTTTTCTTTCACACTCCTCTTGTTTCCCTTCAGAAGACATTGCTGGTAGTTGTATGGATTACTGTAATGATGTATCTTTTTCTAGCTTCACTATCTGGGAACCTATTCACGTGCATTATGTAAACTTACAAAGATTTTTCTACATTTCTTTGTTTATGTTCATTTAAGAAAAGAAAGGCATGAGGGTGAATAGATAATGAGAGAATTTTTGGGGGTGAACTGTCCTTTTAATGTAAATGGTATCGATGGTGTTGATAAGTCTCGTGAAATTCAGTCAGTATTTCCATTGCTTTGTAGAAAGTGTGATTTAATCAGGCTCAGGCTGTTCCCTCAAGGCAAAGTACAAATTATAATTTTAAATATCACATTGTTTTCTTTGTACTATTTGTTCAGTAGAGCTGTGCTTAACTTGGAAGACATTGAATTTGAGCTAATACTAAGCACTAGTACTTTTGACAGTAAAAGAGAGGGAGAATTGTGCAGAAAGGGAGTTAAATACAGATGACAAAATGAAGAATTTTCACTTAAACTTAGACTGTTATTCAAAAAGGTCAGTTTATATTATTGTCATAGAACAGGCATGAAGAGACCATTTTTATTTGTTGTTTGTATGTTTTAATGTAATCTTCCTTTTATGCATAATGATAGTAAAGGCATATTAAGGATATTTTCTCTTTGAAACCCATTATGTATCTTTGCTCTTTCTCTGCATGTGTTCACAGGAAGCAGACACTGATGACCAGCAGGGCACACTGACGTTTGAGGAGTTCACTGTCTTCTATAAGATGATGTCGTTAAGGCGAGACCTCTATCTGCTGCTCATGTGTTTCAGTGAGAAAAAGGATCACCTGACCGCAGAGGAACTTGGAAACTTTCTGTGTATGGAGCAAAAGGTCAGTATAATATCTGTTCCTGATCAAAACCTGTGACCTCTCACATTTGATATTGTGTCTCTTCTCATTTACCATATTTATACGGAATGGAAACTTGTATCTATGTTAAATTCCAGTACACATGTTCCAGTGACCATGTCTGTTTATGATATTTTCATGTTGTTATGAACGTACATGATTATTTCAGAAGCATTCTCCCTCAGCCTTACATAGTGTTTTAAATTTAAATCCCATAAGCACTGTCCTGACTGATGGTCCGTAACCGCCTCTGATGTCAGGCTGATGTTAGCTCCTTCCTTTTCCTTTTCAAGCTCTTGCATCTTACTATGTGCTGTCTATATAGTGAAATGGTCCAAAGTTGCCTTGTCACTATTAGACAAGAGTTGAAGCTCCTTATTCATCAAGTTAAAATTGTATTTTGCATGTAAAAAAAAGTAATCCAAGCCTGTACTTCCAAACACAGATAACATATGACTTTAGTTCCTCCTATTGGTTCTTACATTAAAAACCCACACAAGTAATACAGAACTACTGTAAACAACACATTCTATATTTATTATGAGTATGTTTGTATATACACAACTGTTTAAAAGTTTAGGGTCAGTAAGAGCTTTTTCGAAGAAATTAATTATTTTTTTATCAAGGATACATTAAATTGATCAAAAGTGGCAGTAAAGGCTTTTACATTGTTACAAAAGATATACAGTATATTTCAAATAGATGCTGTTCTTTGGAACTTTCTATTCAACCCTGATAATTATAAGAGATGGTTCTTAAGTGTCAAAATAGCATATTGTAATAAATTGCACTTTAAAATATACTGAAATAGAAAACAACTATTTTAAATGGTAATAATATTTTACAATATCACTTTTTATATTATATATACAGTAAACCAAAGCATCATTTCACATGGCTTCAGATTAATAACTCAGACATAGTATAACTTATTATTATTATTATATTGATGTTTCGTATGTTGTCATCATTTACTCACCCTCATGTCGTTCCAAACCTGTGTGAGTTTCTTTCTTATTCTGAACATAAAAGAAGATATTTTGAAGAATGCTGATAATCAAACAGTTGATGGTTGATGGATATTATTTCTTTTAACAACTGATAAAAGAAACTTATACAGATTTGGAATGACTTGAGGGTGAGTAAATGATGACAACATTTTCATTTTTGGGGTCAACTATTCCTTTAAGGTCCAAACTAATCTCAGAACAGCACAAGCTCAACATCAATAGAGGTTATGGAAGGCACTGCTAAACCAGCACCAGTTAAACAGTGAGCTGTGTCATGATACTGTCACGTTTATTGTTTGGCATTTGTGTCTCTACTAAGTGCCAACCTATTTTAGAAACTATAGAATACGTGACTCCATAGCTGTGGCAGAAAGTAGAGATGCCTTTACCGTTTACATTTTACAAAGTGGTGGGTAGTGTGACAGCAGAACAGGCTGTTCTGCTGGATCTTAAAGTTTCTATTTGTGTGTGTGTGTCGTGAAACTTCATCTGATCTTTTTGGAGCTTTATTGATTGCGTTCATGAGCACTGTCCACTGACAGTGAAGTACTGGCCACCCCCTTTTCCCTTAAGCTAAATAAGACACAGGGGCTCAGTTCAGCTTGGCTTCCTGTTAGAGCAAAGTTGGTGTTACTGATTGACCCTGCCTGCTGTGTGTGAGCCCTTAATAATACTCTGGTCAGACCAGACTATGAACTATCTATCTATCTATCTATCTATCTATCTATCTATCTATCTATCTATCTATCTATCTATCTATCTATCTATCTATCTATCTATCTATCTATCTATCTATCGAGACATATATCTGTTTTATACCTGGCGTTTTAATACCTCTCTTTTTGACCACTTTCCTGTTTTATTTGAATGGAGGGTGTATCTATGGGCAGGTGTATGTATGGGCCTATCCTTATCTTTCAATCTAATATTGCGAAATAAGCTTGTGCAATTTACATATGAAGGAGACATTGGAATATGACACAGTGGGCATCAGCTTTTGTTATAGCTGCTCTGATAGTTGCAGAACTATGCTGAATGCTGTGATTTGTGCTAGAGTCAGGACTAGTAGAAGAACATTGTGCTTTTTAAATTTTTTCGTCTTCAAACCAAACTTATGATTTAAGCCGGCAGTTTAAATCCCATCTGTTTAAGAATTAGGTCAGTAGGCAGAGAGCAGGCAGTCTTTAGTAGCTGTTCATACACAATTGACCACATGAGCATCTACACTGCGAAAAACAATCCAGTCAAATGTGTTTTCGACTACCTCTGGAAGTGGCCAGAAGTGGACAATCTCAAAACATTTCAGATCCCATTTACACCTGTATTTAGCATTGTCCACATGATTGGATTGTGAAAAACACATCTTAATACCAAACGTAAACAGGGACTTTGTATCTGTCTGTCTGTCAAATTTGCAATAGTTTTTTGTTTATGTGTGTGTGCCGCTTCCATAATTGGAACAATGTATGATGCGTTTCTTAGTGAGTCGTTTTCCATTAGTGGCTTGTCAAGCTGAAACTAATTTATTCAGCACACATCTGCTGCATACCACTTGCACACAACTCTCTTTTTGTCTAAAAGCTGCATTTTTGAAGGAGAGCAAGACATTTAGGCTTTTAAAAAGTCACTGGAATGATCTCTCCAGTTATTGCACTCTTTGTTGATTGTGTAAGGTTGTAACAACTGATATTTTAGCAGTGCATCATTAGTCATTTGCCTAAATTTTTAGCTTTTGAAAGACATGTTACATGTTTTGTTTTTGATTCTGTAGCAATATATAATGTACGACTCAAACAAAAATATATACAGCTGTTTTGGGTCTGCTTTCACTATCTAGGGTTCACCAACTACATGCGGAGCCCAGTCTGTGATGTGTTCAACCCTCAGCACAACGAGGTCAATCAAGACATGGATCAGCCTCTGTGTAACTATTTCATAGCCTCTTCCCACAACACCTACCTGACTGGAGATCAGCTGCTGTCCCACTCCAAGACGGACATGTATGCTTGGGTCCTGCAGGCCGGCTGCCGCTGTGTGGAGGGTAAGAGATAACACTTGTGGATATATGTCTAATATACAGTATATTTTCCAATGGTTGTAAATCAATTATTTTTAGAGCCTTGTTTGTGACTATGCTTTGTGTTATAGTGGACTGTTGGGATGGTCCAGACGGGGAGCCTATGGTCCAACACGGTTACACTCTGACCTCCAAGATCACCTTTAAATCTGTCATTGAGACCATCAACAAATACGCCTTTGTAAACAATGAGTGCGTACTTCCTTCTCTCTTCAGTTTTTCTTTTCTCTTTTATGATAGTTGCTTATGATCAGTCATTAGTTTATGTCAGGAAATCAATCATCATTTTCTTTGTAGCTTTTCGAAGCTATCCCTGGTGGGCATAGTAAAGCCATTTAAAGCTCATTTAAATAAACCATAATCTGTGTTCGCTTTTTAAAAGTTTTAAAGTAATTTTACATTTAAAGTAGGGCTGTCAATCGATTAAAAATTTTAATCTAACTAATCACACACTTTTTCTGAGATTAATCCCGATTAATCGAACACCATGAAATTAAGCATTGACCATTTATCTTGTTTCAAATGTTTATTTTGTCATCATTTGCTATATCCAGCAAAGTAAACCAAAAGACTGAAGGGTGATTTTCAAAAATCTGTATTTTCTGCAAACTTTTTTCAAGATAAATTTAGATGTCTTTCCAAAAAAGGACACTAAAGAACCAAATTATATAAGGAGCCCATAAAAGCACTTATGAAAGAAAAAAAATCTGAATTTTATAGTATGTGTACAGTGCA